AATAACCGAATTGATTTGGTTACTATGTTGATCAGTACTTGATCAGTGATCTAAAAGTCGCTTTATATTGCTCAAAGTTGTGGATGTCAAATCAGAAACCTTGACACAGTTCACGGAATATGTAGAGCAAGACCAATGTACTGTTAATAGCATTTGTTTCATTTCCACACGGAATAAAAAACATACTGACTGAGTAGCGGCAACTGTTTTACTTTACAGCAAACACCATTTAGTTTCAATTAACTGGGTTGGAAATGGCATTAGGACTACAAGATTTCCGGCAGGTTGAAATCTAAACCCATCTCTAATAATACCGAGTTTTTCGAAGTGCTACATTATGTGCAATTACGTACAGTACGCTGACGCGCACTATCATCTAGTTTGGTGGCGTAATTGTATCGCACATACAGCTTTCTTGCGATGCAAGACGTGGTGTCAAGTGTCGTGGTGTTCTGGTGTCAGGTGATATATATTTGTGTAGCTTAAATCTCCAACATACATATACACGCACATGTATTAGGGATTGTAAATCATATTCATTTCAAAGACCTCACAGACAATGACGAAGATGTTATTTATGACATAGGCTATATATATATTCGAAAGGTATCAAATCACACAAATAATGTTGGTAATACGATTATACTGGGTGTTATTGTATCACACACAAATCATGCAATATACTTTAGTTGATACATCTATTTCTTTTGTTTTTCTCTACACAACGATAACGTCGTTCTGTGACACACGAGGGTGACAATCGGCAATTTATCTCTATTGTAACATATTACAACTTACAACAACGTATTACAACATACAACAACATACTACAACATATTACAGCATATTTTAGACACATTTTACTATTTTACTCTTATCTTAGTCTAATAATATAATGAGTAGAGTTCGTCAATTTCAAACCTATTTCTCAAGCTCGAATGTTGCATTAATATTTAGAATTTCGCCCTACAATGGATCATTCGTTAATAATGAGTTGGCAACTTTCACGATTTTGTCGGCACCTGTGTGCGTTAGTTTGTCTTTTCAATTTGTCGAGTTGAAATTGAAATTGCAATGAAGAAGATTGTACAGTAGTTATACTGATAAAATCGAAACATGAAAACATACTATTCATTTTGTACTAATGGTTAACACTTATCCATTTATAATTTATTTTGTTGCATTTACTATTTTGTGATATATATGAAAATATTTTCTAGTGCAAAGTTATCATTTATTTAATTTATTTTAACGACTTCCAATTTGATATGTGTGTTACTTGGTGTGTTTTATTTGTAAGTGGTCCGTTAGCTACTAATTACCGTTTGTTATGTAAGAACTCGCACATACACTGTAGAAGGTACAATATTTGTTTTTTGTGTGACTTATGATTGTGTAAATATTGATTTGCTGGTTTACGGCGATTACAATCGTTTATCTATTGATATTAATTATTAAAACCTGCATTACGTATGTTTGTAATATGTCGTTTATGAGATAACACATTTATTCAAAACATATGACACACAGATGTTTCTCTAATCATTCGAAAAAACGTGCGTGATCGGTAACTCGGAGAGTGAGTATGACACGCAGCTGACTATCAATCATAACCGTACGTGTGAGATGATGATAACAAAGATAAAACAGTTGTTCGCAATGACCGGCTAACTAATCTATTGCCAAACGTGCGTGTTTAGTGGTTCGAATAGTAATTCTGTTGCACAGCTATCTTATAACAATCATAAAACACATGTGCTCTAGGTGAACATTGTATGGGAACATAAACGGCAAGAAAGGATTTCAATGACTTATATGGAATTATGCGGCACTGAAGATGTTTTATTGAATGCATTTTACCTCGCTGGTAACCTCTTGACTCCCAAATATATTTCAGAATTTGACATGAATTTAAAAAAAAAGCATTTTTCACTCTAAACGTTTAATAATTGTCTCATGTGACGCATTTATACAAAAAAAACTAGATTTACTATTAAGCTATATGGGATATTACGAGAAATAACAATCACGTCCAAGGTAATTTGTCCACTTGGGTATTAAAAATAAAGCAATTCTAAAAATATATAATTGCAGGTTTAATGTTACTGCCGTTAAACAAATACGGGAATAACGGGGTCATATTAGGCAAAATAGTGAGCAGTATACACTTTATTTGTGTATTCGTTTGAAAGGCAAAAATATTGTTTTCAATTAAATATAGTTCACCGTGGTCTAGTGTATTCACAATGAAGGTAGAAACAGGACAGAAGTTACTGTAATAGAATTAGAAAAGTATAAAAACATTCTGTTTCAAGCAATCATAGTTGCTTTTATGCACTGTTTCACTGTGTTTTTGAATACCGTGTCGAGTAAGCGTATTTGAACTATTCACCTGCAACATGTACAATTTCATTTATTATTAGCTCCCGTCGCGTACAGCTCGAAGCGAGGGACGAGGAATTAGCAATGCCCTTGGAGTGTGTACGTGCGTGCGTGGTATAAACATTACACGTAGTGGTTTACTGTGGTGCGATGTTTTGTTTGTTTTGTGTTTGTTTGTTTTTTCAATTCAAATTAAATGAACTTTTTTATGCAACCCTGTTGAGTGCACGTATAACAATGATCTCAGTATGTACGAGCTCCTTAGCAAATAACATGATTCGAATATAGTAAAAAGAAGAGGATTTTTTATGATGGATGTGGACTATTGTATTATATAATTGTATTAGTCATTATTTGGCGATTTTAAAGCTTGGGTACATTAAACAACAAGGAAACACTCATCGCTTCAAAATGTCGACTTCTCAAACATATTTTTTTTTTAGAAATAGACAGTCAGACACATACTTACATACACTGCAATTTAAATTGTTCTGTGCTCAAAGGATTTCTTAATTAAATAATTGCATGCGATCAAATGCCCGAATTACACATGTAAACAATAGACAGACACTCAGATTTGCTAGTTAATATATGATTGACAACTCGGCGGACCATTTCATTAAATGTAGTTTGTTTTCATAGGCTAAATCCGTAATCTCTCCATCATTTTGATTCCAAAGTAGCATTTAGCTCGAATATAATTTAACGTGAATAGATTTTTCTTTCAGGCAATCTTTATCGTATTTAAAACTATTTTCGTAGGTTCTTGTCGAGGTTTTTTCAGAGGTCTGTACCTTAAATATGAATTTGCTGAATGTTTAACTCCAATAGTTCGTCGTGGTTAATTTCGCTATTGGTTTCATGAATCCTAGATGCGTGTTGATACACTGGTAGTATTGATCAGCTCATGCCCATGACCTTAACATCAAAGTCTTCCGTGTTTGTGTCAATACGTAGAAACGGGCATATTGCATATACATACATACTCATTATCTTCTATTTTGTCTTTGTGGATATAATTAGCATTAGCATTTGACAAATTAGCAATACTATCAAAGTAAAACACGGCTGTGGGGTGCGTGTGAATTATTATATGATAATAGTTATTGCTAATTAGAAGAAACGTTACGCTCAGCACCGGGTATTCTATGATTGTTAGTAGCATATCATTAGTCACTAGCAAAACAAGCGGCATACTGAGGCCAGTATAAACCGATAAGGTCAAATTGTCATCGTCAATCAGATCGCTATAACTCTTGTGTATTTCGAAGACGACACAAATCGATCGCATTTCATCCATCATTCCGTGACGTCAAACGCAACCTATGACAAGTCGAAACATATACGCACTCAGGTTTCCCTTGTAAACAATTTGTATCGTCGTAGTAATAACTAGATGCATTGTGATCGATAGCAAATGGACATGTTGTGTAACACTATTGACCTGTCCATCATAATAATAAATTTATATGATTTAATTCATCTGATTTTAATTACAGATACATATTTCCAGCCGAGTTAGAATTGTACTTTTGTATGATAGCACATAATAGCGAGGCCCATCAATTCATATTGTGCTATATTATAAAATTCT